TATAAATTTTTATATTTTTAAAAACTATAATAGTCATAGGAATGGTTCAAATATGTTAATGATTTACAAAAATTTATTTAATTTAGATTTAAGTTAAACCTTAATACTTCATGGTAATTGTTTTTAAGCTTCTGTTAGTGCATTAATCATTGTTGAACACTTTCGATTGTTAAAAGACCTCACTTAATTTTTTCTTATACATACGTAACTCTAACAAATAGATCTTTTTTATCTTCACTTTTTATTTGATTATTTAAAAACTTTAACATGCCTGAGAAAAAATCTTGAAGGGCGTGGGAAAATAAAATTCCGTGCGTCATCAGGACCGAAAAATGCGTAATAATATTTTTTTTTATTTTCGCATGAAGACAAGCATAATAAATTCTGAACGCATGCCTGGATAAAGCAGAATATATTAGCGGTTCCCAGAATATACCTGTAACAGGATGAACACCTACGTCGCATTAGTGAATAAACCTAATTTGGTCAACGTCACGATCTGCAACAACCAATTTTCCCACGTTCAATTTCATCAAGTGAGAACAATAACTTAGATACACAAGTTTTAAACACACCGGATCTGCTTTTCTGCACTAAAGGTTATAACAAAACAAGAAAGTTTTGAGAATTAATGACTGGCACAAACCTCTGACAGATAAAGTTGCTTTCTTGGTAGCCGCACTAGCTAACTTATGACATCACCAAACAACAGCTAATACAAAATTATGACTTGGTATGGAACTCACCTCACCCCTTAATGAAACCGCATCTGATAGTCTAAGTCAGGCTTTAAGTCACCCTACTACAACACAAGTACTATACTTTGCGTTTGCATAATTAGCTTGGGACTACGTTCTATTTTTATAGTACTCAGACTAAGAAAATTAAATTAAAGACCGCTATTATCATTCCATTAACTAAGCGAAGCTGTCGTGTTACAAACACCAAACGGATGATTGATGTTTTTCAGCAATAAATACATTTTCTAACGCTTGCTAATTTGCTAAGGACTGGCGACTCTTTTTAAGATAAGTTTTAGTTTATTACTAGCTTTAGGCTTTCTAGAGAATTACAATTGATTTTATACGCTGCGCTCATAAGCTTGTTTATTCCCTGATTGCTTTATGGCATTGCAAACGTTTAAAATAATTGCTGTTAGCATTAAAAAAAGGTTCACAAAACTTTAATAGTCATAGAAACTGAATTAAGTTTGTTAATTATAATAGTAAAACATAACATAACAATGGGTCTACGACACATTTCCCGAAAGACACTTGCCCGAATACCATTTGCCCGAAGGCCGATTTCCCGAGTGTCCCATCGGGCATGTGTCGCATTCGGGCAACTGTCCATTCGGAAAAATGGCCTTCGGGCAATTGTCTTTCGGGAAAACGTCCGGCTACCCATAAAAAATAACTTGGTGCTTGTTTGCAGTTAAAGAATAAAACATGTTGATTGTTTATTTTCGGACATTTCTTAATACACTAATTACTTTTGAATAGCTGGGTTGCTAGGGAAATTAAAACCTCAGGGCTGGGAACTACCCTACCTTTTTTCTGATGCAAAGGTCACACAATTCAAATAGATAGTAATTTATCTACCCTTTTTACCTGAATAAGCATATATTTCATTACTTTTCAACACGTATAACAGATGTCCTTGCCACAGATAAATCATGAAAGGGCGTGAGAAAATAAAATGTTGTGCGTCATCAGGAGCAAAATATTGCGTAACATTTTTTTTTACTTCCCAGGTAGACAAACATAATAAATACTTAACGCATGCCTGCATAAACCAGAATACATTAGAATACATTAGCGGTTCCCAGAATATACCTGTAACAGGATGAACACCAAAGTCGCATCAGTGAATAAACCTAATTTGGTCATTGTACGATCTGTTAATACCAACTTTCCCACGTTCGATTTCATCACGTAAAACCATGAACCTATATTAAAAAATAATTAGCACATAAGCTCTGCTCTTGTGATCTAAAATAATAATTATATATATATAATTTATACAAACAGCCAGCAGATCAGAATTGCTTCTGCACCAATTAAAAGATTGATTTTTCAAGTAAATAGTATTTTAAACGCTGTTTTTTTGTGTTAAATCAGCAGCATTGAAAACAAAATGATAACGGTGTCATTAGCATCAAAATAGGTTAATAAAATCAATACTTTACAGGAAATAAATTTACGTTTATCAATTTCATTTGATTTGTGTGCACGATTACAAAAAGTCCATATGCTTCCGTAAAATTCAATTTTTTCGGACCCCCCCCCCCTCTTCCGTTTAGACGTCAAAAATGGATTACCCTATTAAGTAAATATAAATTATGTAACCATTTTCTAATTTCCTTATGGCTAAAAACTGTTTTGAAGATAGTATTTAAACTAATTACTAGCTTTCGGTTTTCTAAAGAGTTAAAAGTGGTTTTTATTCCGTGATTAAGTAATTACATTGAACAAAATTTATACACGTTGTGATTAGCACTATAATAGGTTTACAAAACTATAATAGTTATAGTAAATGTTTAAAGTATGTTAATTATATTTGTGATAAATATAAGTTAACAATATACAAATATTTATTTTATTTTGATTTATTTAAGTTAAACCATAATACATCATGGTTATTTTTTATTTATTTTTGGCTTCTCTTAGTACACGAATCATGATTGAACACTTGGGGCTGTGGAATGATCTCGCTAATTTTTTTTTCTATTGCTTAGGTAACTAAAAAATATATTCTATTTTTCTTCCCTTTTTACTTGACTATTTTTTAATATTTTCTTACATATGTCCTTGACCTAGATAAATCATGAAGGCCGTGAGAAAATAACAGTTCGTGCGTCTTCAGTATTGCGTAACATTAATTTTTTACTTTCCACTGAGATGAATATGATACATACGGAATGCATGCCTGGATAAACCCGGATAATTTAGCGGTTCCCAGAATATACCGGTAGCAGGATGGACACCAAAGTCGCATCAGTGAATAATCCTAATTTGGTCAACGTTACTACCTGTTAAAACCAATTTTCCCACGTTCAATTTCATCACGTGAAAACTATAACTTTAATATCAAATATCACTATTTCTCTGCACTAATGATGATAACTGCAATATAATTCATAGAATATGTGTAATGAACCCAAAAATGCATTAGTTTTGTTATCATGCTTAAGTTTAGTGAAATAAGACTAGGAACCTTACGCGATAAAATAAAAGCTAATTTGTGGAAATGTATTTTGATTTCACAGCAGCTAACTAAATGAGAATATGTTTGCAAAAAACAAGTGCTTTAGATCCACTGCATTATTTTACAAAAAAGGGAAAAAGACGAATTTTTTTAAAGTAAAATATTTTTTTTGTAAAAAAAAAAATCTATTTGACACCATCAAAAGCCCTAAAGTAGACTTGTGTACACATTTTTATAAAGATTATAAATACAATAACTATTTTTTTACTTATTATTAGCTGTTTTGAGAAACTTAACAAATTCTTGCAAAATCTAGAAAAGTTACTGTTAAAATGCAAACAATACTTTGTGATCAACTGTATAGACTACAGCTAAATAAAATAATGCTAATAAACTATGACAAAATTGTGTTCCTTTCATCTATTAAAAGGCCGATGCCAACTTTATTATCGTATTCGCCAATTTTAAGAAACACCAAGAAGATCACTGACAATGAGAAGAAAGCTTCAATTTTAAAATAAAGAATCTACAATCGTTTTGCAGTAAGAACGCGAATAAAAGCTGATTAATTGAATTAAACGCTTATTGTTTTTTTATCAATAAAAGCATTGTTATTTCACACTTTAAAATAGAAAATGAGCTCTTAGTGTATAATACCAAAAACAATTTGAAAGTAGAGGGAAGTTGCACTTCTGAAACAATATGCAATGAATTGGAAGGGGGGGGGGGGGGGGTTAAAAAGTACGTCGAAAATACTGTCATTAATTCAATGAAAATAAATCGATGTACCTTTATTAGATTAATTAGCTTTTTGAATAGCTAAAATCTTTAATTCGTTATGTTTTAATAGCGAGATTTTTATTAAATCCCAATGGAAGGGAACTAACTCCATTATAATTTTTAGAAATACATTGATGTTAGGCAAAATAAAAAAAATGAGCGGGCGCGGATGTGATGTGTATGTAGTGGATGGGAGTCTGACGTTTTGTGATTCTTTTTATTATAATTAGACGAAAACATGCCCAAATATGGGAATAAATGACGAAAGTTTTTATAAAGGCATTATATTATTATAACCTTTCATGCTTAACATTGTGATGCAAGATACAGCATGTGTTAGAGCCGCGTGCAAAAAAAAGTATTGCACCGTGTGCAGTCCTGCAATAGATCTGGCTATAAATGTAGAACGCCGATTAGCTTTTTTAAGATACCTGCCAACCGCAAAGGTATTTTTTCAGCAGTAACGAGAGAGAGCAATATATATATATATATATATATATATATATATATATATATATATATATATATAAATATATATATATATATATATATATTTATATATATATATGTATATATATATATATATATGTATATATGCATATATATATATATATATATATATATATATATATATATATATATATATATATATATATATATATATATATATATATATATATATATATATATATATATATATATATATATATATTTAACTGAACATACAACATAATTATCTAGGCCTATTTTTTTAAAAATAGGTTTTTCCGACAGCTTCTAAGTAATTCCGACTCAATACAAAAATAGCTAAATCCGATATACTGAGGTCTTGTTTTCAGTTATAAATTATTATAATTTATAATGATTCCTATGATAAGTCTTGCCTACATTTGTATTTACACGCCGTAACGTCCAACCATCAATTGTAGGGTACATGTTCTTAATAAATGATTTCGTTTAACGTAAGTAGGCACATCGGCTGTTGAACAATGTTTGTTTTTTCTCTACACCAGATGCTGAAACTTGCCGTTATTCTGGCGCTCATTGCCGCAGTGACCAGCTGCCAGCTGGACGTGCAATGGGCCAAGTTCAAGGCCACCTACAAGAAAAACTACAAAGACCCGCAAGAGGAATTCATGAGGTGAGTTGCTCACGTGGTGCATAAAAAATATGTAATGTCCATAGTTTTAAAGAAAGCTCTAATAAGCGACCCCAATGGTAAGACTTACTTCATACTACTACTTTTTAGCTGGTAAAGAGATGCCTTGCATGCAGTTATATTTCTTGAAGTATAGCATGTGACGTTAAATCCATTTGCCACCATTTTAATGCAATCCCCTTACTCCAACTGGCTCGTCCACCCCGGTCACCTTCAGGGCTCTACACAGCGAACTCTGACCCGGCGGGTAAGATTTTCGATGTGACAGATACCAGAGCCGTATATAACTTCTCCATTAGACATATTATTAGTTTCTTATATACGATGTACAGAGGAAATATTGTTATCGTCCACAAAGTCGAAATCTCGATGTTCTATACCTCCCTGAGTCGGAAAAAAAAACAGATTAAAAGACTACACCATCAACCTAGCGCCCGATATATTTCTCCCTCAATGGCCATTTATTTAGTATAAGATGGTTCTAGAAAGTATAGGGGAGATAATTCTCGCTTTATGTTTAGAAAAGGACTAACTTTGTTCGTCTATGAGTATGAGAGACGGAATGTTGTAAACTATCTAATAGACGGTTGATTGATCTTTTTCTGTGCCCGCTCTAGACGTCAGATTTGGGAGACCAATCTTGATCGCATCCAACAGCACAATGACGCGTACGAGAAAGGCGAATACAGCTATTATATTGGTGTCAATGAATATGCTGATATGGTAGGTCAACTATCTGAGACAGAGAGTGTGAGAGATATTGTAGAGATAAAAATTGGCTACACTTTTAACAAAATTTTAATAAATACTTAGAATTCACGAACAAACAAGCAGGCAATCTGTCAACAATCAATACAAACGCAAGAAAACATTTAATAAAATATAAATAGAAAGCAAATAATATAAGATAATTAGTTGTTTTGATAACCTTCGCTAGTTGGACACGCTAGTTGAATATTTTTCCGACTCTTGTCGATAGAACGTCTCTAGGTTTATTAGACCATGATGAGAACCGGACTCCCGTTAAAAAAAGTAAAAAAAATAAATAAATAATAGAAAGCATATAACTGGCGACTGCATTCTTTTACAACCAGTTCGAAAAATGTGTTCACATATTCTGTTCTAAATCGGTAAGAGGGTTTTAAACACACACAAAATGTGCCAATCGTGATAGAAATGAAGAACATTTCGTTAATAAACAAAAATTGTGCGTTGGTTTGCTTTATATATTTAGAAAGCTTCAGCACATCAAATACCATTATAGTAAAACATTTTCTCAAGACAAAAATAAACTGAGTTTACTCTCATTAGATTTTTTTTGTATTTCTATTTAAATGTGAGCTATTAGAAAATAATCTTAAAAGTAAATAGCTTTATTTCACAATATAAAGCTTGATGGACATTTGTAATTTTTAACTTCTCCGGCAAAGATGGTAATTTAGAATAACATTTAGATCATCTAATACAGGGGTTCCCAACCCTATGCCCGCGGGCGCCATGGTGCCCGCCGAACGATTCGTATGTGCCCGCCTCTCACTATTCGACAGAGACGGAATTTTTTTCATAAACATTATTGAAAGGTTGAAGGGGATGGAAATCGAAAGTTTGAGAGGGGGGGGGGGTTCAAATCGAAAGTTTGAGGGGTGGGGTGCAAATCGAAAGTTTTTTAAAGGGGGGGGGGTGCAAATCGAAAGTTTGACGGGGGGTGCAAATCGAAAGTTTCAGGGGGGGGGGGGGTGCAAATCGAAAGTTTTGTCCCCGGGCGCCGCGAAGGGTCGCTACGCCTCTGGAAGGAGTTTGTCGATTTAAAATAGGTGGTGCACGCCACCCTACCGATATTTTAGAATGTGCTCTAGAGTAAAAAAAGGTTGGGAACCCCTGATCTAATAAAACTATTCATCGTTTAATAAATGGTACATTAAATAAGACATTTATAAGGATTGGATCGTATGACTAGAAGTAGTTAACTAAAATTGAAAAAAAAATATGTTTCTAGAGCGATGAGGAGTTTTCCAAGACCATGAATGGGTACCGCCACTCTGACAGTAACACCCACAGCAGTCTCGTCCATGTGGCCGGAAACCTGAAAGACTTACCTGACGAGGTGGACTGGAGGACCAAAGGCTATGTAACCGACGTCAAGGATCAGGTTAGCACGTGACCATTAATTAACGGGATTTAATTTACGATGTCCATTTTGTACATGTAACTCGCGTCATCATCATCATCATTCCTTTGTGGCCCCTGGGGAGCAAAGGGCTGCAACCACACATCTCCATCGGACTCGGTTTTGGGCTGCTCCCTTAATCTGTGCCCATGTGAGCCCAGCTGTTTTCGCCTCTTCTTCAACCGTTCTTCTCCATGTCTTCCTTGGCCGGCCCACCCTCCTTTTTCCTGGGGATTCCAGTCCAAAGCTTGTTTTGCGATGTTTTCTTTTTCTTTTCTTAATATGTGTCCGATCCATCCCCATGTAACTCGCGTGCTTTATATATATTAACTAGCTTGCCCGTCAACGCGCTTTGCCGCGGGAATAGAATAAAGTCTAACGAAATATTTTAAGAGGGTTTCATCAATGCGTTGCCAATCCTATATTCTTAGACGAATTATCTTGTTTTCTAAAACTAGAATTTAAACATAAATACCTGGGGTTTATTTTTTGGATAATAGTTGTCGGGGCACGGGTTTTACCTACACTACATTCTAGCACGCCCTAAGGGCGCGGTGTATGAAAGCCTTAAGTGTACGTTAATCACTCACCGTAATATGTCACATAGGATAATAGTGGTCTATCGGTAGATAACTGGACTACAGCCCGTAAGTCTCGAGTTCGAATCCGGGTTCAAGTCAGTAAACCGTCCTTGAGTCCACCAAACTCGGTGCCCAACTTTCCACAGAAACTTCACCAGGAATAATCTCAATTTCTTTCCAAAGTTTCATGGCACTCGCAAGAACGCTATCGAACCGCATCTACTATAATTTTTTATACAAAGCATAAAAAAAATCGCACCCTTTCGGGGCGCCGACCTTGCAAAATTAAAAAAGATTTTTTTTTTCAGAACACTTCCCTGTAACGTTCTGTTTAACTCCCCAAAGTTCATGGCAACCGGATAAACTGTGTCAAACCGCAATCGAATTTTCATTTTATATATTGAAAAAAAAAATCGCGCCCTGCCGGGGCACCGCCCCTGCGAATTTGAAACTTTTTCTTTTCGCAAAATCCTCACCAGGAGCATTCTGAACAGCTTCCTAGAGTTTCATGGTGGTCTGATGAAAGGTGTAATAATGCATAAAAGACAGACATACAAACACACACATACATACATTTCTTTAAATAAATTATATATATATATATATATATATATATATATATATATATATATATATATATATATATATATATATATATATATATATATATATATATCAGATTATTTAAAGCATAAATAATTTTAAACACCTGAGTGTCATCATGAATTTCTATTTTTAATTTTTGTTCGTTTGCTAGGGAGTGTGCGGATCCTGCTGGTCCTTTGCTAGCACGGGCGCCTTAGAAGGTCAGAACTTTAAGAAAACTGGAAAACTTACATCACTGTCAGAACAAAACCTTATTGATTGCTCCCAAAAGCAAGGCAAGCTTTTGTTTTTGTTTAGATGTTGATCCTTTCGATTAGCCTAATTTTCAAATAAAAAAAAATGTGTCTACTATCATGTATGTTAATTGTAGATTTTTATTAATTTGACTTGTAAAATTATGGTTACATAGATTAGAGAATCAGTAATCAAAAAACATCTAGATACTAATTACTACAAGAATAATTTTAATAGAACATTCTTGAACATTATAAATAATGCACCACAAATAGCACACTTCGTGTTTACATTTAACAACAAAGCATTGTGGTGTTCTTTCTGTATATTGGTTACAATTCAAGCTGTTATCGATATAAACACTTACGAGATTCTCTTTTTGTCTCTAGGTAACATGGGCTGTAGTGGTGGATACATGACGAATGCCTACGAGTACATCAAAGAGAATCATGGCATTGATTCTGAAGCCTCGTACCCGTACGAGGGCGCCGTAAGTGCATCTTCTTTTTTCCCTGTTTGTTCCAGATGAAGTGGTATTCATCTGTTTTAGAAGGGATAGTGTGGCCACCACTATGTCCGAAATTCTTTTTTTACCCTAACGTGTGTTAGGTACCCATCAGGACTGGGTGGACTCAGGAGCATTTTTACTAATATTAACCCGGATTCGAACTCGATACTCGGATTAGCAGTCAACCTGTTTACCCCTTGGCTACGCGGCGGTAAAAATGCTATAAACTCAAATATAATTAAAAATAGCATTTTAATCACTGGTATTAACATATGTTATGGATCTTTTGAATATAAATAACACTTTTTAAAATTTTAAATTATCACTAAAAGTTTGGAATAAGAAAATAGTTTTATAACACCTTCAATATTAATTTTTAAAATCATTAATTTAGACATTTAGCACTTTAGAAACATTACATTATAGCGATAAAGTCTATTTTTTAGCGCAATTTCCATACGGACAATTGCGATTATTAACTCGTCTTTTCTGGATGTATGGATGTGTGTCCGCAGCCTTTAAGTCGTATCTCCTCCTCAACGAAGCAATATCGAGGACTAGTTCCAAAGCAAATATGTTAAGCAAGTTCCAAGGATGATTGTGGGGCAAAAAAATTCCCGGAATTCCTTCCTGGATTTCCCGGAAAAGCCAAAAAACCTCGAACAAATGCAGTTTTTGCTCCATATCTCGGCAACCAGACAACCTAGCGACTTGAAACATTTAGCAATCGATTCCTGCCATAAGTTAGAACAATATTGCCGAAGAATGTTTTCAAAAATATCCTTTCTTTCGGTCACAAAAAATTGATTAAGAACATTTAAACTGAGCATCGTGTAGGCCAGGATGATATTTACTACTTTTTTTAAACTGAGCATCGTGTAGGCCTACTCGTTAAAATAAAACTATTTCCGTTTATTTTAAATCTCGTTAATAAATATTTTTTTCTATTTTGTTTTGAATTATTAAAACTACTTGTGTTGCATTATTTATTTGCTGAATATATGATTTATCTCGATTTAAAATTGTTATGCATAACATAAGGAAATTGCGCTTAAATTGTCACTAGACTTTTTATTAACTTGTTTATTTACAAAAATCCTTTGTTATCATGGGTCATACCGTCAGTCCAGCCACCCGTTCGCCAAATACAGAATAGAACTTTATATATTAGATTAAATACATAATTTTAGTATCAAATATTTTTTTTTTAGTTTATTGATTTTTTCTCAATTTACTCATTTAAAACATTTTTTGATTTAGCAATTTGCAAAAGTATAAAATAGTCATTAGTTTAAATTACTATTTTTTACTTTCTCGTATACGAAGAATAGAGAAAGTATTGCAATCGTGCAAAAAAAATCGAGATTTTTGTAAATCTCGACGTTTTACAGCTCCCTGAGTCAGGAAAACATAGTTTTGTAATCGTGTCCGTATGCCTATTTATGTGTATGTGTTTGAGAGTGTATGTATGTATGTATGTATGTGTGTGGGTGTGTGTGTCTGTGTCTGTAAACACGTTAACTGGAATACCTTTACAGCTAGGTTGATGAAATTTCATATATAAGTATTATATCAAATTCGAAGATCCGTATCAACTTTTCAGCGATTTCCGTTAACCGAAAGTGGACCTTTTTCTATTTTCATTTTTCCGATTTCTAAAAAAAAACGCATTTGAATTTAGTAGGCCTACTAATAATATTCCGCACTCTTATACAGAGATTGTTTGGCGGTCAATTAGTGCGCATTTTTTTTCTTCGATATTCTATTCTATTTTAAAAAGATTAAGTAATTAAAAATAGATTAAAATGTTGTCTATATCCCGAGTAGCCATCCCCCGTTGTGTTAGATAAGAATATTCGAGAAAGTTTAGGGGAGATCACTCCCGGTTTATTAAACGTAAAATATGGCAAAATATTCTGGAATAGTTTCTAAAAATAATGAGTTGGACATAAGGTATGCTTTTTTCTATTGTTTGCGTAATCAAACAATCATTATACTTACGCAATCACCAGCTCTTTTATTATTCAAAATAAAAGAAACTATAATTATTGCGAAAACAAAACAAAATAAAGTTACATTTACTTCCCAACGTAAATTCTTCTTGTTAGCTGATGTGGCCCATCAACTCCGAATTCAGCATGATGTATTTCTGGGCGTTCTTCCAAAGACATAGTCCACCCAAGAGCAACAAAGAATAATCTGCAGCGATAGTCCATTTAATTTCCTTCCTCACTGCAGTTTTTTATTTGATTATGGAGTTCACTCTGCTAGAAGAAATGCTGTCCCCAGATAACGAAACTCATCTACCAGGGTCGTATCGTAACACACACAATTTTATAAAGGGACCACACGTCCACCTTCTTCTCGCTTCCTTCTTTTAGGAAGGTGTCTGCCGCTTCAAGTCTGCAAATGTCGGCGCTAACGTGACTGGGTATGTTGAGGTCAAGAGCAAAGATGAGCTGGCACTACAGGATGCTTTGGCTAACGTAGGACCAGTTTCCGTCGCTGTTCATGCCAGTGCTAAATTTCGAGTGAGTTCTTGTTTGCGTTATAGTTATATAAGTAAAAACGTTTGTAGGTTAAAATATATTATGATATAAATCGTGCGATTAACAGTGCCTTATTAGGAGATTCGACATGTATATAATGCTCCCTTACAAAGTATACTACACAATCTAATTATGGAAGGCTTTTTTTCCCACGTTTTCTTTAACTTGCTTTCGTCTCTGTTTTTCCAATCAAATCTTGCGATCGAAATTTCTGGCACTTCCCAGTTAGCTAGCGCGCTGAAATTTTCTGGGAAGCTTTGTTTTGGATGACAATAGAATATTCAATTGTTATTATTACTAAATTGATCCATGGAAACATTTTATTGAGCATTTTAGACCGCTATATAATTGTAGTAAAAACGTGGAGAAAAAGGGACATCACCCAGTAACTGTAATTTGATGAAAACAAGGTTCGGTACTCTCCCTCTTTTTGCTTACTGAGTAGTGTTCACCCGGTGTTTGTGTACAAACAACCGTAACAACTGGTGGCCAGTATGGGGGAGACGATATGGTCGAGTGGTTGGGCACACGATTGCTATCCCACTCGACACGGGTTCAAATCTATGTGCTCTAGTCAGTAACGTATTCACACAACGTGTTTTTTACGAGTTGTCTTTTTACGAGTTGTCTTCGTTTACCCAAAAAAAGTGAAAAGATAAAATCGATAGCAAGATTTTAATGCAAACAAACAGACAAAGACTAAAAAGTAGAAAATAATAATCATTAAAAAAGTTTTTAAAAACCCACGTTTTCTGATTGAACTAAAAAGTAGAAAATAAATGCTATACATCACAATAATGCAAGCGACCACTCTACTATAAGCGATCAAAAACGTGGGGCGGTTATATCAAGTAAACACGTTTTGAAGATTTTGTTAATCAATAAGATAATACAGAAATTAACTTTTAAAAAGCTCAATTTCAAATGTTGATTTGTTTTATTGTTATGAAGCAATATCTTCATTATTTTTTCTCCTTGAAATGGTTAATACTACAACTTTAACTGCTACAGCAGTACTTTAATTATTTAACATAATTTGGATAGACATTATACAGTTATTAATCTATGTTATTATAATTTTGTTTAACGCATTGATATTTAATATCAGATGTACAGCGGAGGTGTGTTTTACGATCGATTGTGTAGCCCCGACCTTGTTGACCACGCCGTTCTGGCTGTTGGATACGGCAGTTACCAGGGGGAGGAGTTCTGGCTGGTAAAGAACAGGTACTAGCTGTTAAGTTGGCTCGTTTTAAAGACTGCTAACTTTGAACAGACAGGTTTTGTACCAGTGGCGTAGTTACCGTAACGCTAGCGTAAGCAAGGCATAGGGGCCCAAACAGGGGCGTAGCGAGGGGGGGGGGGGGGGGCGGGGGGTGCGGATCGCACCGGGTGACACCATTTAGATTTAGGGGGTGACACCAAGGCAAAAAATAGCAAAATATATACAGAAAAATTTGAGGGGGGGGGTGCAAATCGAAAGTTTGAGGGGGGGGGGGGTGCAAATCGAAAGTTTGAGGGGGGGAGGGGGTGCAAATCGAAAACTTGAAAGTTTGTCCCCGGGACGGGTCGCTACGCCTCTGGGGGGTGACACCATTAAGTGCCGCACCGGGCGAAACCCGACCTCGCTACGCCACTGGGTCCAAAGCAAATAAGGGCCCTTTTCCCTAAAAAAAAAAATATAAATGTTTACATTGGAATTTTAATATTTGTTTTATGTAAATAATTTTAAAAAGAAAATCTGTAACAACACTACAGGCGTTGTTGTATTGTTGTGCAAGCCATTGAGAGAATTAGCCTATAGGCCTTAATAAACATGAACTGCAAACCTCAACTTACTGGAAAATTACCTACACCTTCTTCCTAACTGTCTGCTCTCCCCGAAATTCCATCTTACTTAACACACATGATAACAACTGGGCCATTGAAAACAAAAATAACAACAATGGACAGTGTTTTCACAATAAGCTAAGTCCAACATTTATCAATGTTTTTTCTAATAATTTGTACCTTAATGACATTTCATTTGTTGATCTAATTAATCTTTAATCGATATGGCGCTACAAGCACTATATAAGTTTTTGGTTTTCATACAATTGCCGAGAAACTTTTGAAAGCCGTTGAGAATACTCCAGGCAGTGATTTTTTTCCAAACACTTTTCTGAAAGGTGCCTCAAAGATCTCTGACATTTGTAAGGTTTCTGGCATTAAATATGTTTAATTCTATTTTGGATGGTGACTTCCTGGCAGTAAGGCACTGCTGTTTTCCACCTAGATTTTCCCAATAGTTATCTTTACACATGTCCGTTGGTTAGGTGTCTGTCGCAGCAGGTCAGCGTTACAACTTGATCCAGCGGTCAAATTTCCCAGGCGCATCAGTCGGCACCCCGGCGGTCGGGTAAACGGGTGCGCCTCGCGCTCCCCTGTATGCACTACGCCGCCTACATTCGTTTTAATTAGCGCCACCATCTAGGGATACAGAGGGCTACTAAAATCTTTTACTACATCGAATAAGGAGTGTATTCCAGCTCATCAGCAGTAGTAAAGGTTGGGCGCCCTGAGATAGCCAGCGGCGTTGTTTACATTTCAATTATCTCACGACTAAACTACACAATTGGTAACGCGTTGATGAAACTCTTACAAATTGTTTCATTACCCTGGTATATGGAACTAGATAGCAGCAACGCGGATGGGTACGCTAGTTACGTACAACATACTTAAACATTCCACAATGATCGGGAAGGAAATCTTAATGACTAAAATGGAATTTTTTAATCTCATTATTTGCTCATTATGATGATTAATTTATGAAAACAATTGTTGTTATGCCCATAGGGTCAGTTACTTGGCCATAATAATATTGTATGAATAAAAAAAATCAGGACGTATAAAATAAAACATGTACAGAATATTTATATTTTTTTAAACCCTACATCACACGTAGCAGTCAATTTATTCGTTTAACTCTTATGGGTAATACAGTAGACAGTTAAGACCGGGCATTAATTCAACCTTAGAGTCGCCAATGCCAAGTAACATTAACCAATGATATCCAAGTTCACGAATATTGTCACACATTGTAACAAACGGCAAGAAATAATAATAATCATTAAAAAAGTTTTTAAAAACCCACGTTTTCTGATTGAACTAAAAAGTAGAAAATAAATACTATACATCACAATAATGCAAGCGATCACTCTACTATAAGCGATGAAAAACGTGGGGCGCCGAAGTAAAAGTTATATTACTATTGATTAGATAATACTATTGACTTTTATTAGGGAGCTTGTAGAGAGTCAACAGTATTAGAAACTGTAAGAAAATCACGGCGCCCCACGTTTTTCATCGCTTATAGTAGAGTGATCGCTTGCATTATTGTGATGTATAGTATTTATTTTCTACTTTTTAGTTCAATCAGAAAACGTGGGTTTTTTAAAACTTTTTTAATGATTATTATTTTCTACTTTTTAGTCTTTGTCTGTTTGTTTGCATTGAAATCTTGCTATCGATTTTATCTTTACCCTTTTTTTTTTGGGTAAACGAAGACAACTCGTAAAAATACAACTCGTAAAAAACGAGAGACCCTTTCTTCTTCGGTCTCAATCGCAAGTGAATGATTGTCAGAGGTTAGTTGATAGCGGTTAGGACGAGGGCTGGTTACTGACTAGAACACATAGATTTGAACCCGTGTCGAGTGGGATAGCAATCGTGTGCCCAACCACTCGACCATATCGTCTCCCCCAAACTGGCCACCAGTGGTAATAGTTACCTCCTGTAAGTTTAAAGTCGGTTCAAACTAAATTATCTGCCCCTAAGCCTGTCGCGACGTGGGATCGTTCGCTTCACTGCGCGCGGCAAGAGAGAGGCGAGCTACGCGTCGCTCGTTTTTTTTTCTAATGGCTCGCAGAGGAGAATTATATATATAGATTATATAGCGGTCTAAAATGCTCAATAAAATGTTTCCATTGATCAATTTAGTAATAATAACAATTGAATATTCTATGGTCATCCAAAAGAAAGCTTCCCTGAAAATTTCAGCGCGTTAGCTAACTGGGAAGTGCCAAAAATTTCGATCGCAAGATTTGATTGGAAAAACAAACAAACAAACAAACAGAGAAAGCCAGTTAAAGAAAACGTGGGAAAAACAAAAAGCTGCAACCCAAATGACTAATTGCCTTTATTAAAAATAAACATAATCATATCGTCTGTATTTTGTCTCAACGCCACGTCCCACCTCCAAAATCTGTACCGAATCTTTACATACGTTTAAACTTCCCTCTCATTAACGCTCTCTCTTTTAAAGTCAATATCATCTCTCCATTCATCCATGTTTCCCCCCCCCCCCCTCCTCACCCGGGATCCGCACCCAAGGCTTTCAGGTTTTCAAAAGTAAGCTGTGCCATTCGACAACGCCTTCCTTATAACGTTGTTAGAACTCCATAACATCAATTGGTATACATACTTCTGACAGTATTAAAAATAAATGAAACGATGGCGTTTCTTTTCTATCGCTTTTGTTGAGTTAAAATGAAATACGAATGTTACGATCAATTACATAAATAGCCAATGAAATCAGCACTTTACCCATTCGCCTTTATTATCTTCGACTTAAACACGGTAAGCTGAAAAGTGTCCCACAGATTCAAGCTCGTAAATTTGAAGACCTTGTATCAAATCCCACACTGTTTATACGAGCACTAACCTAGTATTAAATATCACTTAAATCTCTTTCAGCTGGGGTGAATCATGGGGGATGAAGGGCTACGTCATGATGGCCAGAAACAAGAACAATAACTGCGGAATCGCCACGGTTGCAAGTTACCCGACAGTTTAGATGTCGAACTGAAGCTGGACTGAAAGTTGAGTTGTCTTTAGTATATCTATTAACGATACTGCAAAATTTGAAATCTCCTTACTTAAAAATTAAAATAGCAACAGTTTATTAAAATAAAGTTTCAACAAAATACTTTTCAATTGTTTATATTTGTGGTTGGATATTGAATGAAGTCAAAATATTTAAAAATTTGAATACACATATTGATATTTAAATAATAATCCACACAAAATCATGTCATTAATATGCAACCGGAAAATAGGTAAGAACCACTTCCGGTTACCGGAAAACGTTCAAATTTGATACAATACTATACACGACATTTTGTCAACATAACATAAATGGTATTCAAGTTATTGTGACAGACAGAAACACACACACACACAGACAGAGAGAGAGAGAGAGAGAGAGAGAGAGAGAGAGGGGGGGGGGGCATACGGATATAATTGCAAAAACTAAGTTTTTTCCGATTCTTAAAGGTGTAAAACGTTGAAATTTGGGAGAATCTCGATTTTGATTTTTTCGTACAATTACGCCCTCTATACTTCGTATCAAAGAAAGTAATAACGTCTAATAATCAATAGGCCTGTAACAAAAGATAGCACGCACGTTTAGTTAATTTTGTTAGCTACTAAATACATTTAATTACCTGCTTGAAGATTAAAAGTTAGTTATAAAACTGATTGTTCCAGCACTGATAAAATTGTCTAGATTCGGGAAAGAAGAATATTTTAAACGAACAGGAACTTAGCAAACATAATACAAGTGTTATAAAAGAAATACATGTTTTACATTTTATTTAGCCTCTTTTTAAAGTTTAAAATCACTAATATTATATATCGGTTATTAAATAAACCATTAATAATGGTAATTTCAAACAGGAGAGTTGCTTTTGTTTTACGAAAAAAAAGAAATATATATTAAAATTGTATTTCTGTTAAACACAAGGACTGCTGTTTGATAAAAATAAAAGCACAGGCCAAACAAAATAATGAGCTCAAGTATATGATTATACAAAAATATATCGATACCTCAGCCTGCAAGTTAAACTTATAAGTGTGAAAATGTAAAGCATTGCACAACGTGTGTTGATAAGTTTTAGAAAAAGTATAGTTACCTTTTGAACTTGACTGTCCGAACCAGTATTAAAACTCCAGAATTAGATGCTCTACCATTCGTTCTATATTTTATAAATATATGCGGTAAAAATGCAATCATTCTCATTTATGATGTCTTTAAATATTTAGTTAAATTATTTATTTCACCGAAAACAAGAGTAACAAAAGGTGAAACATTTAACATCTTACCTTTCTGGGTGTAGAAGCGAAAAGTATAACACATACTACGTCATAAAACAGACATACACAATAGAAACGGCAAGAAAAGCAAAAAAAAAAATCAATTTTGTTTGAGTTATTAGAACATATGTTGTAGGCTTACCTAAATCTAAGTTAAATTATATTTACTTATATAAACATTAAAATTTTAAATTATTATTATTTAAGAAATTATTAAATCACAACTATTATTTAAAAGTAATGCACAGCAAATTAATACGATGACTATAAAAACCGCATTGTTACAAAATTATTCTAATTAAAGACAAAAAATATATATTGTTGTCAATGGAAGAGGAAAAAAAACTAGCATAGGTTTTTAAAACTACATGATAATATTAATATAGATTGGACAAAATCAGACTCATATTTTGTCAATGATATGTCTTGTAACATTTTGTCGATGAGATCATTTGTCGGATATATTTTATACTGAGATATTTTGTCTTTAAGATATTTCGTCTGAAATAGTTTTGAAATAATGTATCCGTAATAATAATAATAATAATTCCTCCTCTAAGCTTTTTTGTCTGGACTATTTCCTCGGAGTTCGTTTGTCCTGAGACAAATTGGTCATATAACATGTAAAACGATTTTATTGACTTTGACCCCGCCTACAGCGTTTTCCACTTTGAATTAGATTCAAGACCATACACTTTAAGTATCTACCATAATCTGGAATTACACAATCTACTATCATTTTCTATTATCTATATAACTAGATATTATATACGTATATGAGTTTGCAATTATCCATTGCTAAATGCCATATAAAATCTACAATTTGTAATTTTTTAAAGAATGCATAGACATAAGAGTTCACGTATATACGAAATATGTTGGCCTCTTTATTTCAATGATAAATTTACCTGTGGTGCATTCTTTCAAAAAAAAATTAATGTTATTTAAAACAACGACAATACGATTCCGTGCGAATAAAATAAATCATATTATTTTTTAAACGACTTTTCCACACTTTCTTTTACGTTTCAAATAATAAAAAAATATGTTTTGTAAAAGGGGAAGTAAGTTATAAACTCATTTGATAAAAAGTAATTTTTTAGTTACATCACTTTGAATGTGTGTTAGATGTTCTTTCAAAAATTAATTAAGATTTCTTTGAGTTGGCCGAGTCTTCAATGATCATCTTTAGTATAATGATGATGTTTAGAAAATAATTATAAATTATTTATCAATACAGCGACCCAATATAGAAATAAAATTTTAAAAATGTTACATTATTCCTAATGAAAGGAACAAGCATTTCTCTGTAGTCCTGTGTCTTAATGCATAAATATTGGATGCTAAAACAAATACATTATATTTATTTTCGTTGCAACCCAAATATTTCTAAGCAGTATTTATTTTACCAGTTCTCTACTGCCTGTTTAGTGCTGTTAACATTAAGATATGGTTTCCAGAAGATATAATCGCTGATTTATTTCGCTTGCGCTTTATAGCAAATTCCAATGTCTCAATATTCACACTTTCTGTTCATAGCATTTATGCATTGTTCCCAAAGGTGCTAGCAACTGTTACCTTTTCTTGTGATTTATAACAATTTCCACTATCGCAAAATTTTCTTGTGATTTATAACAATTTCCACTATCGCAAATTAAACATTTTAGAGTCTATAAAATAACGCATTCTTTCCATTTATGTTTACTTTCTTCACACCAATCAATTCGACTCCTTGTATTGCCACCATTAAAACATCGTCTCCGTCGTTAACTGAACGTGCCCAATACCTCATTGTCAAAGTTTCTTCCATGCATCTCTGCCGTGGGGCGGGGAGGGGGGGGGGGGGGGGTAAACGCCACGAAACATTTCAAGTGTCCTCCTCCGGAGAAAAAAGTCTGGAAGAGACACTGCTCATTTTTAGCAATTGCAAGATTTTTTGTGGCTATTTCAATGAAGTTCTGAAAAGTTAAGTCCGAGTTTAATAAAATTGTATATAAATTGGGAATACCCAAAAAACCTAGTCAAAACCAATTTTGTTCTTTAACGCTTAAAGCCATCAGACTTTTCTATTTCTACATTTAGTATTCTGAAGTTAGAAGCATGTCCGTTACGTAACGTATCAAATTATACCAAATATCAAATAACTCTAAATGAATTTAAAGTATTAATGTTTTTTTAAACGAAAATAAATTTTCGCAAAACATTACACAGTAAGAATCCTTATTGCCAGACCTTAACAAGATACGTCCTTCTATTTATAGACCACAATTTAAATCTTTTGTCTGCTTTTAAAACCTGCTGTCAAAACACAAACTTGTATGCTTGTATTTAATTAAAAAACGAATACCTTTATATTAATATTTTCTATTTAAATTTATTTTTTTTAATTATAAAATACATTTTACGTTTCTAATTTGTTGAAGATTTGTGGAACGGTAATTTTAGTTTAGCGGCTTATAAAATAGTGGGCTTTCCCGCACCATCGTCACTACGGGTATTCGACTAATATTTGAACGACCCAATAGCCTGCTCGGTATATAGCCATAGTTAGCAACTAAATATCTAAGGCAGACTTGATGCACAAATCTTGGTTTTCAAGAGAAACTGTTGATGCAAACTCGGACATGTTTTATTTTAACGTATACAGAGCACATTTATAAAGTATAATACTTGTAAGTATTATTTATATATGCTTTATTTTTTAATATTGATACACTCCGGTGCCTAAAAAAAAATCACTAGCTCGCTAATGGAACACAACATTGAGTATTGTCCCGCACACATTTGTAGCGTAAAAGATATTACTCAAAACTTCATGCTTTATTTAATAACTTCTATCCCTTTCTCAATCCTGGATCAGTCTGAGACTCAGACTCTGAGTAGAGCACGAATCTACTTATTTTGCATTATTGACATTGTTTAAAAATAAGTAATACAAGGTAGTAGTTCTACCTTTTTATTATGTATCGTTATAAAAGCGTATGTCACTAAAACCACGTAGGCTACTTTTGATAACTTTGCTGAATTTAATGTTTTAATATCACATTTTGAAATCGTTGAAGAACCGGACTTTGAATGACGCCGTTAACTTAAAACGAGTTGTGAGAATACAGGTGGTGGAAGCTTGGTACTAACTTTAACTCCGCAGAGTTTGGTGTTATTTTATCTATAATAATAGGTACGCTATTCAGTCTGTCACTGTGTCTGTCACTGTGTCTTGAACGCTGTAGTGAAAACAACGAAAGTAAAAACTTTCACAGTCAAACTAAATAAGAAACTTCCCATAAGAGTGACGTCACATGAACATATATGAAATTTTCAAAACTAAAACGAAATGCCACGCTAACAATGACGTCATCGATAATCGATAATAAAGACACTAACACTACAACCTAATTAATTGGTCTGATCTTAAAAGTAATCTGTTTTGAGAATTTCTTTTAGGCATCTCTTTGGGTAGAGAGACCCCCTTCCCACCGCCGAAGAACGTCTAACCCCCCTCACCTCCTACCACCGAAAAAACACAGCTTATATAGAAAATATATACTTTTACTAGTGTTAGCTCCACTCCCGGAAAATTTAATCCGCCCCCACCCAAAATAATTTTTAGTGCTCCCCCTTCCCCCCGTCCCGTCCCCCCCACCGGAGATAAAATGTCTGAAAAAACACAGTCTGCATGATTGAGGTTTAGCGGCCAAAAATATTAAAAGGTCTAGATTATAGAAGTAGGGTCTACCTTTAATGTGTATGATCTAGAAATGTGACCAGTGTTTATTTCAGATTTTTTTTTCATCCCGGAGGAGAAGAGGCACTTAAATTTTTTGGGAAAAGGGTTGGGGTGTGGACTAAATTCTCTGGGTATATTTTCTATATAAATTATTTTATCATTAGACGGGGCGATACCGTTCTTCGCGGGGCTCAGCAAATGCAAATAATACATTATTAAAACAAACACAGTTCTCTGAGTTAACATTAGTACTTTACTATTATAGACAGCTTTGACTAATAATATGGTCTTGTCTCTGGGTCTTCCTGTAGTTACCTGCCTCACAGCTACACATCAGCTACACGTCAGCTACACCCCAACCACTGAGTATATAAGGGGCGTAACTACGATATACACAATAACAAGGAATAACTAATACAATATAGAAACATCCTTAAATAAACCGCGAGTGATCTCCCCTAAACTTTCTCGAATAATCTTATATAACAAAACAGGGGATGGGAACTCTGGATATAGACATGAATTTTAATCCATTTAAAATACTTTAACTTTTTAAAAATAAAATAAAATCTCGTAGAAAAAAGAATTGCACACCAATGAACGCCAAATAAAATGTGCATAATAGTGCGCAATATTATTAGTACTTTATAAATTTACATGCATTTTTTGAGAAATTGGAAATAGCGTAAATTACTACTTCCGGTAAAAGGAAATTACTCAAAATTTGTTAGAAGGTAGAGAATGAGATCTTTTACTTGCATGTAAAATTTCATTTATCTATCTGAAATAGTACTCAAGTTATAGGCTTTTGAAAAATTCAAAGAAAAAAAGTACCACTTCCGGCTATCGGAAATCACTCAAAAATTGATACAGATCTACCGTTTTGATAAAATAATTATATATGAAATTTCATCAACCTAGCCGTAACGGTACTCAAGTTATCGTGTTTACAGACACACAGACACACAGACACACAGACATACACACAGACATACGGACAAGATTACAAAATTATGTTTTTCCGTATCAGTGAGGTGTAACACGTTGAGATTTCCAAAAATCTCGATTTTTTTTTTTGCACGATTACAATACTTTTTCTATACTTCGTAAATACGAGAAAGTAAAAAAAAAAACCTAACCGAATAATCTATTTCTGTTCCTTTCACCTACTCCGTCCATCAAAATCTAAATGAGAATTCTAATAAAAGGTTGACAACGTGTAGGTGTTTATGATTGGTTTTAAAGTCAATATGTTGAATATTTACTCAGGTGTGTCAAACGTGCGCCCGATGAAACTTCACTGCGGATAAACGGGTGATGTTTATGTGCAGCAGGCCTGTCCTTAAGCGAGGTCTAAACGACGAAACGGTGTCACCTGTGTGTTTGGTGAACCGGATCGTATTAGTTTTAAAAATAACTCTGTAACCTTCACATTTGTAATTTTTAAATGCGGTATTTGAATTTGTTGCGGTCTTTATATAAGAGTAAAAAAAACGGGTTCTGAGAAGATCGCTGATAAAAGGAGATTGTAAATTAGAACCACACTTATCCAACTCCAGTTTTTAAAGATGTTCACAAAACAGACTAAAGATGTTGTTTTTTTTTTAAATTAAACACTTGGTGAAATATAGCTTGCTCGTTCGTTCGTTCGTTCGTTCGTTCTTTCGTTCGTTCGTTCGTTCGTTCGTTCGTTCGTTCGTTCGTTCGTACGTTCGTTCGTTCGTTCGTTCGTTCGTTCGTTCGTTCGTTCGTTCGTTCGTTCGTTCGTTCGTTCGTTCGTTCGTTCGTTCGTTCGTTCGGTTTTGTTGTTGTATATTATAAAATAATATTTTTGCATTTTATGAATTGACTGTAGCTATTAGATTGTGTTTATATTATGTTCAAAGTTTTGTTGTTATCTTAATTTTTTATTTTAATTTTTAAGTGCTGGTAGACTCAACAAGATGACAACAGGCTTGAACAACGTTTTAGTACAGTGCTCACGCAAAGGAGAGATGAACAATGTAGAATATGTGATAAACGAAGGAGCTGATGTAAATTATAAGGAGAATGGAGTTTGGAGTGCATTGATGTATGCCTCTGCTGGTGGTTACGATAACGTTGTTCAACTACTAATTAAAAATAATGCTGATGTGAATGCCATGCAGTTAAATTCAGATAATCAATTGCTGGTGGCCGCTAAAAATGGGGACGAAAATGAAACTGCCAAACTAATAAACAATGGAGCCGATGTAAATAACGATAAATATACAAGCTGGAATGCTTTAATGTTAGCTTCGAAAAATGGACACGAAAATGTTGTACAACTCCTACTTGACAATGGAGCTGATGTAAATGCGAAAGCCATTAAGGGATGGAATGCATTAATGTCGGCTTCACAAAAGGGACACGAAAAAATTGTACAACTTCTAATTGATAAAGGGGCTAATGTAAATCAAAAAGTCAAAAGAGAATGGAACGCTTTAATGTTGGCCTCACTATACGGACACGAAAGTATCGTCAAACTTCTAATCCAAACTGGAGCAAAAATAGACAGACAGTGTGAAGAATCAAATGCTTTAATTTTGGCATTGAAATACAAACACGAAAAAGTTGTAAAACTGCTACTAGAGAGAGGAGCAGAAGTAAACATATCACACCGTAGGAATTGGAGTCCATTAATGCTGGCAGCTGAAGCCAGGCATGAAAATGTCGTCAAACATTTAATTAAATATGGGGCTGATGTAAACGCGGCGAGTGGCGAATTGGTGAACGCTTTAATTCTAGCATCTGAAAACGGATTGTATATGTCGGTGAAGGAACTGTTAAAACATAAAGCAAACGTTAACATTATTAAGTGTTTGGGAATAAATCCATTATTATTAGCTTCTTTGCTAGGTCATACACAAATTGTAGAATTACTTGCGGAGAGAGTAAATGATTTAAATCAAGAAATAAGCAAAGGATGGGATGCAATTATGATAGCTAGTATGAAAGGGCACGCAGAAGTTGTGGAACTGCTTCTCCATTGTGGAGCTGATGTGAATACGCTACGAAGTCAAAGGTGGGATGCATTTGCTTTGGCCAACTATAACAAGCATACTGTCATAGTTGATCTTTTTCAAACATTTAAAGATAAAATAAAAGCTGATAAACACCGCGGGAGAAATCCATTGATGTTAGCGTCATATATAGGACACGAAAAAGTTGTTCAAGTTATTTTAGAATATAAAGGAACAAATATTAATGCCGATGACAATGATGGTTGGACATCATTGATGATGGCATGTGAAAATGGGCACATAGACGTCGTCAGTTTATTCATGCTCAAACTTCAAAGGAAAAATTGGCATCCAAGTACAGTAAAAAAAAAGGAAAACTCTAATGCTACTAAAGCGTCTGAATATGGATTCAACAAATTACTGCAAGTGTTATTAGGCAGTCGTTGTGATATTGATGCTGCTAATAACGATGGGTGTACTGCTTTAATGATTGCCTCAGAAAAAGGACATTATGAAATTACAAAACTTCTTGTAGAATATGGATGTTCTATTAACATTAAAAATAAACAGGGATTAAATGCAATAGATATTGCTAGTAAGAAAAAACACGACAATATTATTAAACTACTTGAGGAAACAAAAACAAAGAGCAATCATGTATGTATTGTTACAATTATTTTTCTTTTGATAAATATTTATAATTTTAATAAAGAAATTCTCAAATGCAATAAAATATTGATTAAATTATAAATATATAAAAATTAATAGCTTTGGTTATTAGTAATGGATATCAATCAAACTTGACAGAGCCGGAATGAATATAACCATTTAAATATAATTGCACTTTTACAAATGAAAGATTGAAAGTTTGTATAAAACATGTATTTTTTATAAAGATTTTGTTGTTTCTTAATTTTTTTTTTAGTTTTCATTCATATTTCATCATTTCAGACACGTTCCATACTACCCTGGCATAAACTAACTGTCGACCGCATGAGAAACCTAATGAAGTACCATGAACAATATGATGAGACTTGCCTGAACGAAAAAGAAATTTACACGTTACGATCAGGATGCATATATTTGATACGATGCAAAATCTGCGACAAAAAATACGTTGGGAACACACAGAAACATATCTTACACAGAATAAACGAGCACATGCATTGCATAAATAAACCTCAAACTAAAGAAAAAAATACCAAACTGCTGTACCAACATTTTTGTAAGTGCGGGATAAACAAGTTCTTATTCTCCGTTTTAACAAAGTGTGGAGTTGGCAAGAAGATACGATCTATGGAGCAATCCTATATCGACAAATTACAAACACTAAAGCCACATGGTTTAAATATGATAAACGCTGTCAAGTAAGCTACACGTTTTTTTTTCTTTCAAAGAAGGGTACTGATATATAGTTAGGCTTTTTATGGTAGTGAAAGAAAAAGCTTCAAATTAAAGAAAATGTTGGATAAGATAAAATATATCTAGGTTACACAATATTTAAATACGTAATTTATAATATATATATATATATATATATATATATATTCCGACAAATACACAAATAAATAAGCGTAATTATCGATTACACAAATCAGAAGTTTCATATATTATTTGTTTTAGGTTTAGGGAGGAATTAAAAAACCCTAGTTGAATGTACTTAACATTTCAAAACAAAGAATTTTGCATTTTATCCTACGTAAATTGAAAAAACAACGGTTGATGTGCACATACTATCTATCGGACTAAACTTTATTTCACTAAGTCTCAGCTAAGATTTTCTTGCACTTTTATAAGCCTGTACAATTCGACCCTTGTCACGTCAATAGTAGCTGCGTGTGTGTCTTTACGCTACTTGTGGACCACACGAACTAGAACATGTAAGTGATTGTGTCTGTTTAAACGTAGAGTGAAATGTCTTGAAACTGTCCGCATTCAATGTTTAGGCAAACTACATTTTCGTAATGTTGCAGCTAGTGTCACACAATATTTTATCTACAATGTTTTCCTAACCATTACTGTTTTTTTTTCTTTTCATTATCAACGGATATAACTAAAAATGTTACGTGAAAATGTATCTCGACACTCGCTAAACCACACACAACAGTCAGCAAGTTAGATACGATCTACACCTTCCATGAATTCATTGTTAGAGTTTTTCCCTTGCACTCAAGAAGTGTTTTTTTTTTCGGGAATATTTTTGAGGCTTGTAAGGGCACCGATCTCCTATCGGAAACTTTCGTATTCCCCACCCCACCACCCTCGAAATGACATAGAAAAAAATATACTGCCTATATAAAATCAATGTATATAAATGAAACATCATTTCCTTTTTTTAAATCTCGTAACTAGCTTGATTATATAAACGTGTTCTCTTGTTTAGTTATTTTATAGTAATCCTTGTAAATGATTAAATTATTGTATTACTTACACACCTCATACACAGCGTCACGAATGTGCTTAAAATATGAATCAGAATAATAAATAGACAACGCAACCAACATGACCATTACATTCTATAATTTTCAAACAGTGAAGCCAAAAGAAAATCATATTTCAACAAACCCACATTCTCTCTACTTGCACTTCATAAAGCATTACTCGTATTCAAATTTATTTTGATTGTCTTCTTAATAATATATAATATTGATATATTTTGGGAAAAGCCCTTCGTGCAAATGTTATTTCAGGCATTTGTCGCATTCGGCCGTGTCATTTCGGGTTTGTCGCAGGCAGGCAAGCGTCTTTCGGGAAAACGTCCGGCTCCCTTGTAAATCTATTAGAAAAAGCGTACTGCCAAATTAAAGCTTTCGCACGAAATAATACATTGTAAGAGTTTATAAAATGAGTATATATTTTTTTTGGTATTACATGCTGACACCTTTCTGTTCAAATTCTTTCCAAAGCAAAAGAAAAACTAAATCAAGTAAAGCTAAATCAAGAAAAGCAAAAATCAAGAAAATTAAAATCAAGAAAAGCAAAAATCAAGAAAATTAAAATCAAGAAAAGCAAAAATCAAGAAAAGTCCAATCAAGAAAAGCAAAAAAAAGGAAAAGTAAAAACTGAGACCCATGGACCTGCTGTTTAAATTAAAAGGTTATTTTATTTAATCCAGCTTGAAACTTAAAAAATAAAACGTGATATAATTTTAATTGAATGTTTCTGATGTGAATGTATAAAATATATGATAGGTAATACACGTAAAGTTTCTTTTTGCTATTTATAAAATGTATATGCATAAAGTTCATACGATATAATTTTGCATTTACACAAATACTTTTGTACATTATCAATTAAAGAACTAAGTCCCTACTTTTTTATGAAGCAATGTGGTACAATGCAGATTAAGTTATTTGTTTGAGAAACATTGAATGGTAATGTCTTATGACTTACACAATGAATGTGACAGTTGTCATAAAACAATATTTATGAATAAAGATCCTCATAAAAACCGTATAACAACTAACATTCTAAAATATTTTTTTAAATAATATCAAATAAAAGCAAAATATGAATTAATATGTATCATGTAATCTACGTTTGTGCTGTTAGCCACTCGCTTGAATGATCCAAAAAATAATATTTTCCAATATCAACTTAAGGCAAAATAAAATGGCAGAAAATATATAATTATTTAAAACATCAAGTCTGTAAATAGCTTATTTTTACGTTAAAGAAATATGTTTTGTAAGCTAATCCCTATGCTCCTGGTGGAAATTAGCTAAATCCACTTGTAGAACTTTAGACATTCAATTGTATGAACATCATCTATTTCAATTTTAATTTAACAATCAAAATTGATTTTACTCTGTTTTCAAAGCTTTTAAAAAAAACGGTTGCATCCACTTATAGTCTTCAATTCCCTAATTTAATGCATTTTTTATTTAATTTGTTGAGAATGTTATTTGAAAATAAAGCATACTTGATAGTAATTATTTTCATATCTTTTGTAAAGAGAATGTTATTTGAAAATAAAGCATACTTGATAGTAATTATTTTCATACCTTTTTGTAAAGGTAGCGTTTTCTTTATAACATTTACATATAAATTATTTGATGCTATGTAAATTAATTGTTGAATCAATACAACCATTTTCCTTTGAAAAAACAAAAGCTATAAAATCATTGTTTTTTTTTTATTAATGTAAGTTTCTTTATGTGCCTAAGGGGAGATAACTCACTATAAAAATAATCAATTTCATTATTAAAACTGTTTTCCGTTTGTGTATAATACATTGTTTCCATTTCTCCGTCTGTTAAGAAGGGTGAACATTTTAAAGAATCAATAAAATAGTAAATTTCATATGTAGCAAGTAGCATGCACATCTCATTTAAAGTACATGTATTACTGCAGAAATTAGCATCCTGGTTTGCCATAGAACGAGATTATTTATTAATCATGGACTCCATTTCAGAGTTCTACCGCGATTGTAGCCATGAGCAATAACATAACTGAAAATACAAATTTAAGTTTATTTCTAAACCGTCACCTATTATGAAAACAATAATTGATACATAAATAAATGCATCGTATGTACAATATGATAATTTAAACATCAATGAGATTATAAGTAGACCTATACATAATGTTATAAGCCTTTGAAAATAGTACAATAGGTGATAAAGGGAAGAGTAAGATATACTTAAAAGAGATAGGCCTACATATGACAACTTAAAAAGAATATTTAGATACCAATGCTTAAAAAATGGTACGTATTTACATGAATCAATTAAAGTATATTAAAGATTGAAAAGAAATATAGCAATGGCGTCATTGATTGTAGGACGAAAATGGAATTATTCATCAAATGTCGTAAATGATACACAATACAAATAATAATTGCATTATCTTCAATAAAACTCGCTTCCCACATCTTCCAATTTTAGAATATGAAGAAACGAACCATTTCATTCAAATTTGATTTAGATTTATAGATCGACTTATCAAGACGTAAGCTATGAAATTTATACAATTTCCTCGGTCAAAACTAATAATAATTACTTTAAAAAATAACATAAATACCATAGAACAGCCCGGTTTATAACGCAATAATTTATGTTTCTTAATCAGTGTGTGTATTTAATGTAGTGTTGTGTTGACTAATATTGTATACAATTTGATTTTATTTTTTCTAATAGGTATTGGTAGCCTATGTTTTTTTAAATGTGTTGGATTTTTAGCTGTTTAGTCATTTCCTTGCTTTCTCACTAATATCGTTCAACGTGTAGTAAAGAACATTGCGTTTTGACCAAAAACTATTTTCTAAAATACTTTTCTTAAACAAGTATCACATTAAAAATATATAGACCGATAATTCACGTGTATCGGGTACCGTTGGATATTATTTAATAAATTACCCGATCTTGTTGCATTTGAAAATTACAATTAAATATGTAGAACTGTACATGTCTATCTTAAGAGAGTGATTATTTGCCCTGCTGTAGTACACTTGTCATAATATCCATTTTGGATTGCTTCTGTGATGTTTGAAATAGTTAAGGAACGTGATTCTAATGGACTTGAATCTATAAGAAAACCATAAACATATAAGTACACTCTTAAATGTGTTTGAATATGTATTTTCAACTATATTTTACAGGGCACATGAGGCTTGATATCTGGGGTAAGCCACTTATCTAAAAGAGACAACTCAAAGAAACATATCAGGCCTTGCATTTCAATTTTTGTTAGACAAAGTCTATGGAAGCAAATCCAAAAAGAAAAGCAGGCTAAAAATCGGAGTCAACGGCCTACATGGCACATAAACAGTGGACTCGTATACTAAATGGTGTTGGAGGAATCCCTTGCAATTTTAAAAATAAGAACGAAGAAGAAGAAACATATTTTTACAGTGTTTTAACATTTAGTCTTCTCAATACAATACGATAGTACATTTTTCAAAGAATGTATTTAAATCAATAAGAACAATGTAATATAAATAAATGTAAAATAGATAATAATATGCACGTTTAGACATTTAGACAATAATAAGGAAACATTAAACGTTAAATATTGATGCATTTACATTAAAACAATGCATACAATAATGTTAAAATATTTTTACACAAGCATGATCCATACGTTATTATATTTATAATGTTTTGGATTTTTCTTTAATTTTCATATTATGTTTCTAAATAGAAATGTTGCATCGCAATTATTTTGCACATGTTTGATTTTGAACATGGCTATAATCAATACCTTCCTTAACTTTTATAGCCAAAAGACTAAATGTGGTACAATATTTAAGTACTGAAATATGCAGATATAATTATATTTTTTTTCGTCAAACTCTGAAAATAATGAACACGTTTTATATTTTTTCAATGCATAGCTTATAACATTATTTACATTTACGTAACATTTAATAACATACCTCATTGTGTATTGTTTTTTAGCTCCACTGTTCTATTTTTGAAGAGTTTATGGCGTACCAAGTTATGTAAGTTCACAAAGCAAACGAATGCTTTTAGTTATTTTATGATAATTGCATTTTCCTTGATTATTAATTTGTTAGATATTGTGTAAAATAAGTACATTCATCGTGTGCAACATCACTGTAAAAAATTCAAATATTTAGATATTTTTAATCATTGAAATTGTTACTTCAACCCGGGACACGCATCGGAGGTTGACTCACTTAACTATAGAGGGTTATTGCATTTACGTTAAATTCAGTAATTACATTAAAAAAAATATTCTTATAATGTAGTAATGTTTCATATAACATAAGTTCGACCCAGTTAAAAATTTTACCTTCTCCAGCATCACTCTAGTGAAGTAAAACTGATCTGCTAAATTCTCCAAGATCCGCTTCAAATTTAACTTCACAACCCTGCTTTAATGTGTTTGAATCTAATACATCCGTTGTTTGCTCCAACCAGTCCACGCTAAAATTATATAAAAAAATATGATGCAAAATATTATGAATATGTGAAAAATAAGGAAACACAGAGAGTGATACATTGTAAGATATTATTTTTAATTTTTTTAAAGAAGAAAAAGAAGATAAAGAAACACTTGGAATTATGCATGTAATTATACCCTGTATTGATTTGACGTATGTTTTCAAAATAAATTATGTTTGAACTTCAGGCGTGTTGCCCATTAATAACTGTTTGTATAGCTGTTGTTGTAGATGTGACACCACGCCAAAGAAGTGGTAGAGATAAAATATTGATAACAAATTAAGTAGTGTTTTTTACCACCGCGCTAAAGAAAACCTACCCCTTATTGTGTAAAGAAAGCGTATCATGATAATATCAACAATAATTAACTTTGTTAAATAAGCTGTTTAATGTTTAAAATGTATCTAGCACCATTTTTACCAAAGAATAAGAAATGTACCTACTTGCGAGCCTTTCTCATGTTAAGACCATTCGGTTTCATTGTATTTAAATCGTCAATATATTTCTGCTCCCTGGTCAAAATATCATCATGCACCGCGCAGTGTTCAAGTATACAAAACCTGAAGTCTCTCTTCGTGTGAATTTTAGAAAAGTGTTGGTACACAAGTTCTCTTGTGTTACTAACAGATGCATTTTGTATCCTTTTCAAATGTTGGTTGATTCTGAATAATACGTTTTGTTTAGTACTCCCAACATACTTTTTACCGCATACTTGACAGTGTATTAGGTAAACCACATTTTCATTTTCAGAATTACAGATATTTTCTTTTACTTCACCCAGGTTTCCATACTGAGCATACTGAGCAAAAATCTTGTTTCTTTCTATCAGATTCAAACTATTATATTTGTGTACTTTGTATACAGAAATGTTGATTTCAAGTTCGTTTTTCAATAAATTAAATGTATATCGAGGTAAAAAAAAATATACATATAAATACATAGATTTTACACACACATATATATACATATAAATAATTATTTATACATATATATATATATATATATATATATATATATATATATATATATATATATATATATATATATATATATATATATATATGCATATATATTTGTGTGTGTACATGTATATTTTTCAAACGTGCTGTCAATTTTCTGTTGTTTTTTTTATCTAAGTTTCTTATGAATGAGTTATTTAAAAATATCTAAGTTACTTTACTCACATTTGAGAGATTGCATTGTTTCTCTTTCAGGTAATCCTTAATGTTTTCTTTTTGCGCAAAATCAAGTGCACTAAGACCATATTTTGTTGTAGTATTCACATCACACTCATTTTCTACAAGTATTTCAATTATATCAAGGTGACCATATTTCGTTGCTAACATAAGAGCAGTGCAACCATTTTTTTTATTCACTGCATTAACTTTACACAGATATTTTACTAATAATTCTACCACTGCTTTATGACCATTCTGGCAGGCTATCATTAATGAGTTGTATCCATGATGGTCCATCGCTTCTCCATCACTATGATTCTTCATAAGTAGCCTAACTACCTTCTTATGGCCATTCTGAGCGGCTAACATTAAGGCAGTCACTCCACCTCTTCCAACTGCATTAACATCTGATTTTTTGAGTAAAAGCTTTACACAACTGAGACGTCCATTTTTTGAGGCCAGCATCAAAGCGTTAAACCCATCTGTGTTGACATCATTGGCATTATCTATTTTCTCAATTATTTGGTGCACGATTTCGATGAGATCTTTTTCGGCAGCTAACATTAATGCATTCCATCTAATTTTATCAACTTTAACAATAGCTTCTAATTTTAACAATAGCTTTGAAGTAGGTAGATTTCCCATATAAATAGCTATCATTAAAGCATTCCATCCATTACTTTCAACGGCATTAATGTTAATATTTGTTATCAGTAGTTTTACAATATCTGTATGTCCTTCATGTGCTGCTAACATCAGACTATTGATTCCCTGTCTGTTAGCCGTGTTAACGATAATCTCAAATTGACGTAGAAGACGTTCTACTGTTGCCAAGTGTCCCCTCTGACAAGCCAACATTAGAGCACTAAACCCACAATAGTCCTTAACATTTACATTACATCCATTCTTGATTAAACTATTTACAATATCTGTGAAGCCATAAAAAGAGGCAATCATTAATGCACTGCGTCCCTCGTTGTTAACACAATTAAGGTCACACATGTTCGCTACTAAACATTCAATGGCATTTATGTTTTTGTTTTCTGCCGCTATCATTAAAGCGTTCATTCCATTAGTGTCACAATTATCTTTATCATTGCATTTTTCTAATAATATTTGCATAATATGTGTATTGCCTTTCTCGGCAGCAATCATTAGAGCATTGCGTCCTTGATTGTTCACTGCATTTAGATCTGTTTTTTTATTTACAAGGAATTCAAATGCATTTAGGTGGCCGTTTTCTGTCGCTAGCAATAATGCAGTCATTCCATTATTGTAACAAATATCATGGCATTTCTCTATTAATATTTCAATGATGCCTGTATGCCCGTTCTCAGCAGCTAACATTAATGCATTGCGTCCTTTGTTGTTTACAGCATTAAGATCACTTGTTTTCTCAACAAGAAGTTCAACTGTTTTTTGGTGTCCATTCTTTGAGGCAAACATCAGTGCATTCATTTCATTACAGGTGACGTCGTCAGCATTTGCTTCATGCAACAGTAATAATGCTACAACATCGGCATGTCCCTCAAGAGCAGCGTACATTAAAGCATTAGTGCCGTCCGGAATAAAAATGTTTTTAGAAATATTTGTATCCAGTAACAGATTTACAACTTTGACGTGTCCATTTTGAGACACTACTATCAACGCATGCGAACCATATTGATCCAGCAGATTAATATCTGCAATTATTAATATTTTAACTACTTGATCATGCCCCCTAGCTGATGCTAGCATAAACGCATTTGTTCCATCCTTTAGAACTCGATTAACAGAATAGTCTGAATCTATTAAAAAATTGACAACGTCAGTGTGTCCATCTTTTGCTGCTAACATCAATGGGTCCCATTCTTCAGAATACTTAATGGTCGAATGTCCAATTTTAATCAACATCTTGACAATTTCTAAATTGCCAAATTCTGAAGCTATCACCAATGCATCCCTACCTTTGTAGTCAACACTATACCAATCACTTCTTTCTTTTAATAATAAATCAACAATTTCTGAATGTCCATTTTTGGAAGCTACCATTAAGATAGTGCGTTTGTTTACGTCTGTTTTGTACACAATTGTCGGGTTTTTTTCAATAATTTGTTTGACTGTTTCAAGTGTTCCAGTTTTACAAGCCCATATTAATTTTCCCCATGTTTTTAAACTGGTGGCCATTTTAATTAAATTTATTCAATTTTTATAAGTATTTGAAAAACTTAGTTTTTTGAGTTTTTAGTTCTTGAATTTTTTGCTATTTTGATGCATTTTACTTTCTAGTTATATTCACTGCTTTCAAATTATGTTTTTATTACCTTATATAATTTAAAAATAGATAAATCGTTTTCATGTTGGGTTTTTTAATTTAACTATATATACATATATATATATATATATATATATATATATATATATAATTTTAAATCATATATTTAAAACATAGTCATTATTCTATACAAAGAGCCACAGCCTGCCTCACATATCAGATTATATCTGAAAAGAAAAATGAGATGCGTCGTTTTACATTGTGCATTAACAAGTTTCTAAAGAAAAATCATCAGAAAGTCAAACAAAATATTAAATGGTATTTCATTTTCAATCAAACAGTTTACTAAGTAAAATATAGTAATTTAAATATTTAAAATTATTGTTTACTTTTTAAAAACTTTATTTACAACGTGATATGTATGAATTTTATTTTCTGTTTTAATATATAATTAATTATAAGAGAAGTTAAAAAAAATTCGTCTGCATTTCGTGTTCGGACGTAGGCCACTAGTTATATCTATCAAATCATGAAAACATACCTCAAATTGCGTTTATGTAATTTATCAAATTTACCTTAGCTATAAATTATTTTATTGTATTACCTTAATATAATAAAACATGATGTGAACATGAATTATCAATACATACTACGCAGTAAAATTTTATGCATGGAAATACCAGGCATAAATATAATTAATTTATCCTATTTATAAACCACGAAGCAAATCGTGTGTATGCTAACAAAATTTAACGTAGAAATAAAACATTTAATTTTTCATGGAGGTATTTGGTTTCATGCTAATCATGTACATATATATTTCTATTTGGACTTATTTTTGTGTCTTTCAAATAAATTTTAGTTTTCCTAACTCTTTTATTTTTATCTTCGAAAAGATACTTAATCATAGAGTGTATTGGCACCGCTTATAAAACAGCGGGCTTTCCCGAACCAACGTCATTTAGGGTATTCGACTACACAGAAACTTTTAGGCGATTTACCTTCAGCCTTACTGCCTAACTCTAGAATTTTAAATTGAATTTAAAATTACAACATACATTTGATAACTATGCTGAATGTAATATTCTGATGACACAATTTGTTCGCAACACCGACTTAAATATACGCCGATAACCTAAATCTGACCGGGTGAATTATATATATATATATATATATATATATATATATATATATATATATATATATATATATATATATATATATATATATATATATATATATATATATATATATATATATATATATATATATATATATATATATATATATATATATATATATATATTCATTTATTTATTTATTTATTTATTTATTTTGAGTAAGAATCTGTGTGTGAACGTTGTAGTGGACATCAGCTACGTTGCTTTCGTTAAACGCGACCATATAAGCCCGTGTGAACGCTAGGGTCGTTGTTTTTATCCTACTACAAGTCAAGAATGTGTACCTTGAGGATCGGCTTCGACGTGGGGCTTCGCGCGCCACTTGTGTATGAAGTAAATTGACTGGTTGTTTGTTAAGTTTGTTTGTTTCGTTTGGTTGCTCTGTATGTTTATTTGGTGTTTTGTTTGGTTGTTTAATTATTGACTAATGCAAGTCCAGATTTAATTGTAGTGTGTTTAGTCATTTTTTTTTTGGTTATATAATTGAATGGTTCCACTTTATTTTTATGTAAATAAAGTTTAAGTTAAATATCTATGATTTTTTAAATCTAGATTAAGATTAGGGTCTAACCAGTTGGGGTTTAACCAGACATGCACTGACGCCCTAAATAGTTGAATAGCCTGGGTTCGATTGATAGATATTAAGGGTTTTAGACATCCCCACCCCCTGCCAAGGCTTACATAAATACAATTGTGTGGGTGCAGGTGGGGAAAGTATAGTGTCACCCTTATCTTACACAAAAAGATATATAGTTAAAACATATTTGTTTGGTATGGCAGACAAAATGTCACCATTTTCAAAAACAAAGTTTAAACCTTAATTATCAGGTAACTCAAGAAACTAAGTGATTCAGCTGTGTGGTGAATTGTCAGTCACATTGTGATAAAACTTTGCCTCAAGTAATGAAGTAACGTCCATATTACTTTGCATTTGGTTATATACGTCATTTGTGTGGACATTACTCAAGTTTTCTCTCCGATACTATGAGACATACTAAAGATTCGAGACCGAATGATCAAATTATTCAATTTTCCTTTACGGCATCTCCGTAGAAAAGTATTTCAACGACTATATTAAATACAACGCTTAGTATCGAATGGGTGTGTGTAGGTCGAGTTTTAAAGTGTGTAAAAGTAAATCGACTTACCCAGCTGTGTCCGACTTATGATCTAAGAACCAAGAGTGCGATATGAATAGAAAGTATGTTAGCTCGTATTTGCCTGTGGTATTTATGTGACTAAGATATTTCCTTTTCAACCAGCTGTAAACGAATGAAGGGTGTTACCTGGATAGTTATTGGAGCCGATAATGCGTGACTTTAAGTTCTAAAAATAACTCGCTAGCCTATAATGGAAGCGCCTATATCCGCCAAGGATAGAGGAAATGCGCAACCTGCTTGATACTCATATATTTTATAATATTTGAAAACAATCTTGTTTTATTCAATATATTTTTACTTGTTCACCTTGGTTCAAGCGCTGAGTGGCATAATCGACAGAATAGCTTCTGTCACGCAACTGCTCTGATTTTCAGACCTGTTATAATTGTAGTTTTTTTAGTGCAAATGACATTACTATGTATCTTTAGCGCACTATATATAACTTATGGTTAGACTCATGGGTTAGGGCAGGGGTCTCCAAACTTTTCAGTCCGAGGGCCGCATTAACTATCAAATTTCAGTTCGGGGGCCAGGTTCTTCCAGGCATGTATTTGATTTTTCTGAGCAAAGTTCCTTAGCCATCACCAACAAACGTTTTTTCCGTGAACAAAAAGATCTCCGCGGGCCGGATGAGAGGACATCGCGGGCCGCATTCGGCCCGCGGGCCGTAGTTTGGAGACCCCTGGATTAGGGTTATGATTAAGGTTAGGTTCAGGGTTAAGAGTTAGGGTTAGAGTTTAGGGGTCAGGGGTCGGTGTTAGGTTTTAGGGCTAAGAGGGGTGGTAGACTTTCTTCGGGGGGGGGCGAGCCCCCCCTCCTCAAAGAGGTGCCTGGAAGAAACTCTGCGCCCTATTACAAATAACATGTTACAATTAGTTAGCATGTTGGCTAACCACAATAGCAACGTACTGCGAATTTGACTTCATCAGGTGTGATATCAATTCAAAATAAAGAGCGAGTGAACTCGATAAATTTTTACTAGCTTTTACTTTGTTCAAAACGTCCGTTTGTGTGTTTGATTAATATTCTAGTTTCAAAATAAACAATTAAGTTTTTAAGTAATTATTTCAGTTTCTTAAATATTTCATATTTTCCTGTGTTTCTTAATATTGGAATCAGTTAAAATATGATACAATTTAATTAAACTTAACATTAGAGTAAGTAAAATGAAGATTTAATTTAATCAAAACAACATTTTACTTTATGTTTACGTACAGTACTCTAAATAATACACAAGATTTGTTAACAATTTATACTAGAGTTCCTAGCAAAGATGATAGCCCGTTAAATAATCACCCAGCTGGTATGGGTACGGAACCTAAGCATTCAATGTAATTTTTTTAAAAATGTTATCGGCGTACTTGCCTAATAGTTTGGCTATGTGGCTCTGTATGGTTTTGTGTAGAAGTGGGTGGCTGTGGATAGATTATCTCATCATGTATAATCCATATAAGTACAGAGAAGCTAAGTTTAAATAATCTCTGTAAGTATTCATGTAGGTTTCTAATTAAATGATGCTCTGTTACATACATATTTTTAGTTATTTTTCATTTTTGTGTTATTTTATAATACACTTAGTTTTATTTACTGGTTTGTGATTTTACTAACCCGTTATGAAACCAAAACCACTTATATAATTGCGGATTTTCCCGCAACAATTAAGTATTCGACTACCCTACAACTACTTGAAGGCATTATATGCTAAGACGTACTGCCTTAGTCATAACAGCTGTATAAAGGATAAATCGTGAATGACTAGTTATACGGACGAGGCAGATGGGTATATTTTACTAATTAGACAATTTATTTTAAAATAGATGTGCAAATATTGCTTGTTAAGTGGATTAGTTCTATACAAATGTAACTGTTTAATTGTTAAGTTTTAAAGGCTTTTAATGATCAAATTGTTATTTAATATCGTATATTTTTTGTATCTTTAAAACAAGCATGTGACTGAAATAATAAAGAATGTGTTAATCGATAAAGCATTATACTGTAAGTATACATAAAGCAATTTTTAATTAAATATTTAATACGTTCGTATGTGTACATATAGATCATTTATCCACCTTTCATAAGTAGCATACAGTGTGTTTTTGTCTCACTATGTTTATACTATTTTTTATATACACATCATAGCGCGTTTACATATCGAAAACAATATTACTACCATTGTTTTGGCTTGAAGTTTTAACATATATATACATAATTTAAATGTTAGCTAAATACAATACCATTTATAAACTAATATTAGACGATTAATTTATGTTTATGAAATATGCAATATAACAAATATTTTTTTTTAAAAATGCAAAAAGAGATAAAGATTTAGTGGGACTAAAGTGAACAGTAATTATTTTGTTAAAACATATTTACATCGGTATATACAAAGAAAGAGAGAGGGCGAGAAAGATAGAGATACATACTTCATTAACTTATACCTAAGCCTTTCATACAATCATACAATTTACATTGCATTGTCGACATGTGTTGATATGTTGATATGTTGATCGTTTATACATATACATACATGTTGAGAAAGAGACAGTCACTATCATATTGCTACACTTT